TCCAGACTCAACCACCCAGGAGCAACGCCTCACATGACCAAACCCTAGTGCTGTGCTGTTGCTTCGCGCTGCAGAAAGTCCTGTGAGGGGGAGGGTTCGAAATGGTGACAATATCAGAAGCACAGTGTCAAGAATGAGTGACAAGATCGAGTGGAATGAGGATCCTCCCACGTGGGAGGGAATTCTGACGGTACTGTTCAACAAATGTGACGTTGTACAGCTCCACTCTGACAACACAGCAAAATTGGTAAGTCACGACCCGCCGAAGTTGGGTAGACTTACAGTTGAGCAGAAATGTGTTGAGTTTATACATTTCTGTGAAACTTTACAATATTTTATAGCACATTACTATGAAATCTGCATCTTGCAATTTAGAAAACGCATGACACATTAGGAGCTAAGGCGTGGGCAAATAACAACGGATGGTAAGATAGTTACGCACCAAACAAAACGCATGGAATGTTGCCACCGAGTTATTGGAAATACTATGAGCTGCAACGTTAATGGAGATTGCTATTATAGAGGTATGATCCTGTCTGAAGTTAGGCCACATCAACGCACAAGTTCAGAGCAGGCAGCTCATACCTAGAGTCTTAACAAAGTCTACTAAGCTGCCATACCAACCTGAATGTCACAGTACTAGCTGGTTAACTAACTACTTACCACTTCAGCTCATTCCACAGAAACCTAGCACCCATGCCTTTAAAATCTGCCTCAAGAGGAAACACGTGAAGCATTCTGAGTATGCTGCCCACATGTACCACCCCATATCCCTGGTCACCAGGCCACCACTTCAGTGTTGTCAGGTCGACAGTGTTTGAGCTCGGAAGTGCCTTATAGTAGCGCACGAATGCTACTTGATCCGCCATCTTTTCCTCTCGTGTGTACTCGTCACCTGTCCGTGCATCAACACTTGTCCATGAGAGAGTCTTGTGCAAAGTGAAGATCAGAAACACCTTAGCTGGCCACATGACGGACTCCCCCGTAGTCTCAACGCCCCCAACCATGACATCTGAGAACCAAGAATGGCCGTGGAACAGAGGAGCTGCCCGTGCATATGCTGGGTACTTGCTATATCTAGTGAAATCCTCATCAGGAGGAATAGCAATACCTTGGTGAATATCAATCACGTGTGACCACGTCACTGTACACCCTGCTGGGTGTTCTTGCTGCCTCTGAAATGCAAGAATGCTTTCCCTCAGCAGGTGAAAATCACCTGGAACTGTGTCGGCATACTCCTTCCACACCCTTGTACGTCGGTCAGTTGGATCTATCTTCGCAACCTTGCCTGTCACAGCTGGGGACCCTGTCTCCAGAGCTTGCTTCATTGCAACACTACGTGCCTCCTTGTCTTCTACTTTATCATCGGTTGCAGTCAAGAAGTCTACAAGTTCGTTTGTCAAGCAGCGGTGGGTGATTGAGGCTTCGGCATTATGATGATTTGAGGCACGATATGGTCGCTTCATGATGGAGATGTGCACATGCTCATAGAGATCAGTACAGTAGTGGACCGGCACACCTGCACGACGAATGTCATCGGCCACATGGAGCATTGCATGCACCTTTGGGACGTTGAAGTCGGATTTCTGATGAGAGCCAAAGTGTTTCACCAGGCGAGGGACCAACCTTGTTCGGGATTCATATGGTTGTGACAAAATGTAAGACATGGGCGGATGGATTAAAAAATAGAAACCTCTACTTGACGTCAAGCAACAAGGCCTGCTGACTGCCCACAATTTCCAGCCTGACACCAACACATGCTCATTTGCCTCCTACGATGAGATCTGGCTGCAAGGTACAAGCAGGGAGTTGGCGGGGGGAGATGGGTGCAGGAAGTTAAAAAAAGGTTTAGCGGGTTTATGTCCTCCCTCCGTAATCCCAGATTCTCCCCTGCCTCCTCTGTGCCTCCTATCTCCTTCGTCTCTACTTCGCACATGCTTCTGGCCTGGTCGGCAAGGACATGGAAGCTGAATTTGAGGGTAAATCTGGTTATGGAAGGAAACCTAACCCCTCGCGCACACCAATTATGAAGTTCAGCTGCACGAGCTTGAAGAGGAAACATGACGGGAAAGGAGGTGCAGGGTGACAGTGAGATTGAAATCAGAGAGTTTGCATTCCGAGAGAGTGAGATCAGAGAGATTGAATTCAGTGAGATTGACATCAGAGAGATTTAAATCAGAAAGATGAAAATCAGTGAGATTGAAATCAGAGAGATTGAAATCAGTGAGATTGAAATCAGTGAGATTGAAATCAGTGAGATTGAAATCAGTGAGATTGAAATCAGTGAGATTGAAATCAGTGAGATTGAAATCAGTGAGATTGAAATCAGTGCGATTGAAATCAGTGAGATTGAAATCAGTGAGATTGAAATCAGTGAGATTGAAATCAGTGAGATTGAAATCAGTGAGATTGAAATCAGTGAGATTGAAATCAGTGAGATTTAAATCAGTGAGATTTAAATCAGTGAGATTGAAATCAGTGAGATTGAAATCAGTGAGATTTATATCAGTGAGATTGAAATCAGTGAGATTTAAATCAGTGAAATTTAAATAAGAGAGATCGAGATAACTGAGAGTGGATTCAGTGAACTCGTAAACATTGGGATCAAATGCATTGAGAGTGAGATTAGTGAGATCAAAAGCAGTGATGGTGAAATCGGTGAGTTATAAAGCTGTGAGAGTGAAATCAGTAGGATCCAAACCAGTGGTGGTGACATCAGTGCATGAGAGTAGAACCAGTGGGATCAAAAGCAGGGAGAGTAGAATCAGTGGGATCAAAAGCAGGGAGAGTAGAATCAGTGGGATCAAAAGCAGGGAGAGTGGAATCAGTGGGATCAAAAGCAGGGAGAGTGGAATCAGTGGGATCAAAAGCAGGGAGAGTAGAATCAGTGGGATCAAAAACAGGGAGAGTAGAATCAGTGGGATCAAAAGCAGGTGGAGTAGAATCAGTGGGATCAAAAGCAGGGAGAGTAGAATCAGTGGGATCAAAAGCAAGGAGAGTAGAATCAGTGGGATCAAAAGCAGGGAGAGTGGAATCAGTGGGATCAAAAACAGGGAGAGTAGAATCAGTGGGATCAAAAGCAGGGAGAGTGGAATCAGTGGGATCAAAAGCAGGTGGAGTAGAATCAGTGGGATCAAAAGCAGGGAGAGTAGAATCAGTGGGATCAAAAGCAAGGAGAGTAGAATCAGTGGGATCAAAATCAGGGAGAGTGGAATCAGTGGGATCAAAAGCAGGGAGAGTGGAATCAGTGGGATCAAAAGCAGGGAGAGTAGAATCGGTGGGATCAAAAACAGGGAGAGTAGAATCAGTGGGATCAAAACCAGGTGGAGTAGAATCAGTGGGATCAAAAGCAGGGAGAGTAGAATCAGTGGGATCAAAAGCAAGGAGAGTAGAATCAGTGGGATCAAAAGCAGGGAGAGTGGAATCAGTGGGATCAAAAGCAGGGAGAGTAGAATCAGTGGGATCAAAAGCAGGGAGAGTGGAATCAGTGGGATCAAAAGCAGGTGGAGTAGAATCAGTGGGATCAAAAGCAGGGAGAGTAGAATCAGTGGGATCAAAAGCAGGGAGAGTAGAATCAGTGGGATCAAAAACAGGGAGAGTAGAATCAGTGGGATCAAAAGCAGGTGGAGTAGAATCAGTGGGATCAAAAGCAGGGAGAGTAGAATCAGTGGGATCAAAAGCAAGGAGAGTAGAATCAGAGGGATCAAAAGCAGGGAGAGTGGAATCAGTGGGATCAAAAGCAGGGAGAGTAGAATCAGTGGGATCAAAAACAGGGAGAGTGGAATCAGTGAGATCAAGAGCGGTGAGAGTGCAATCAGTGAGATCTAAAACAGAGAGATTGAAATCAGTGAAATCAAGAGCAGTGTGGGGTAACAGTGATGCTCTCTGGGTTACCTGCTGTAAAGGCAGGACATCAAAGGTTAAAGGGGAAATGCGATGGAAAGGGCGGTACCGGGTGTTAGTGATTCTCCTTATCCACATACACGAATCTAGCCTGCTGGTTCATGACAAACCTACAACACGACAAACAATCTACTGGATGAAACAACAAATATTGGCAAGTACACGGTTGCACAGTACTTACACACGAGCCATCTCTTGCAGATTCTTCAGTGACTTCTCAGTGTGATAGGCGCGATGCCAAGCGAGGGTATGCCACAAACAAAACAGCTCCACGGTCCTCACCCACTCTGGGTTCATGTCCTTGACGGTTGACATCAGAATGGGCAGCACCTGCATAACAGCCTGGTGCTGGAAGGCATAGAACGTGGCGTTGCCACTGAAGTATCCGTCAGTATGCGCGGGAAGACGGAAGAAGGATTGGCGGCTGTACTGGGTGACGGTAGATAGTGCCCTGTCTAGTTGTCTGAGAGCCTCGTTTGATAGCTGCTGCTTCAAGCTATCTACAATGTGCTTGTAGACCCCCAAAGAGGACATGTGCATGATGTCCACCATCAGTTGCCTATATGGGTTGCCGAAGCTTGTCTCACCAAATCGAAATCCCCACAGTGCGCTCTGCAATCGTCAAGACGAAGACATGTTAGGGACGAACTAACCAAGGTACACCCCATAACAGTCACTGCAAGTTGAAAACGCTTGGCTAAACCCACCTTGACAAAATGAGTGCTGTGCTTGACCTCCAATTCTTCCATTGCTTTTTTGGTTGGGGCTAGCTGCATTTCACGGACGAGCTTCTGCTGCTCAATCTCCGTTCGATTTTTCATAGGGTAAGTCATGTCACCGAGCTTTTCATTTGGAACTTTGCATTTTGGGCAGGGGAAAGCAGTTTTGATCCCCGATTTGGTACCTGCCACCTTGCACTGCTCCGGGTAGTCCCCAACATATGCATAGGTAACAGGGTAGACCCAACGTTCGATCCCATAAGGGTCTGTCAGCTTCTCCCCCCTGTAGGGTAGGGTACGAATCAGATAGTCAATGTCAAACAAAATACGTAGAAACCAAATACAACATACCCAGCAGGGGGAACGGAGGGGCCATGCATGGACGATGCAGAGAGGTGGGCAGGGAAAAACGACGGAGGAGGGGAGGGCCAGGGGGACGGCAGGGATGAGGGCAGGGCGGAGGACAGGGAGGAGGGCAGGGAGGATGGTAGAGAGGAGGGCAGGGAGGATGGTAGAGAGGAGGGCAGGGAGGATGGTAGAGAGGAGGGCAGGGAGGATGGTAGGACACTCTTCTTGCACCAGAGTGCGTACGTGGCGAAGGTGCAGCAGCGGTACTTCAAGGGGGCGCCACCAAAGAAGCAGCCGATCACTCCTCTCTCCTCTGCCAGCTTTGCCAAGCAGGATGCCGGGCAGTTTGCCAACCGTACCATGACCGAGTACTTGTCAATTCTCGGCATGGTGCAGTTTGCAGCCATCTCAACCCGTCCTGTCCTCTCTTTTGCATGCAGTCGCCTTGCAGTAGGTGCACACCTCAGGACCGATGCGCATTGGCATGAGCTCTTCCACACACTCTCCTACTGGGCTGCCTCATCGGACAAGGGGTTGCTGTTCAAGGGAGGACCAGAGAGTTTGACTCTCGTAGGGTATGCGGAAGCGGATGATGCAGGCGACAAGGAGAACCGGTCGTCAACCGGAGGCTACCTCTTCAAGCTTGGCGGAGCTGCCGTTTCATGCAGGCCAAGAAGCTGCAGGGTGCGACCAAACTTTCGTCCACCGAGAGCGAGCTTGTGGCTGCGGTGGAAGCGGGAAAGGAGGGGCGCAAGCTAAGGTTCCTGCTGTGGGAGTTTCAACTGCTCAAGAAGGGTGTCCCTACCACCCTATACGTCGACAACATGTCAGCGATGCAGCTCAGCCAGGCGGGCGGGCTGCAGGGGCGCATGAAGCATGTGGACCGTCGCCACATGCGGCTAAAGCACATGGTGCGCATGAAGAAGTTGGAGGTGCAGCACATCCCTACAACGACGTAGCTCGCGGACTTCTTCACGAAGCGGCTCGACAAGGCAACCTTCAACCGATGCTGTGCAGCAGCCGAGGTGGTCCAGTGTGCTCCTGACAGCAAGGGGGCGTGTTAGAAGGAAATGCTGTCATGAGCAACAAAATGTCTGCGCTGGGATTCGAACTCGTGACCTTCAAATCTGTCCTGAAAGTGTCTCAGGACAGATTCAGGACAGTTTCTGCTCAGGCGCTGGTTATGGTGCACACGAGTTTCGAACAGGAGATATTTCGATTCAAGTGTCCCGAAAGTGTCTTGTCATGACAGATTGGGGACAGTTTGGTGAAATCGATCTCGGGTCGCGTTCGGTTTGAAACTCGGCATCGAAGTGTCGAAGTCAACGGAATTCGCATGGGAGATACAGTCGGTGGTCGACAAAATTCTTGTCGCGGAAATTCTCGTCTACGGAATTCCAGTCAATGGAATTCGCTCGGCGCAAATCAAGGCTCCGAATTTCGCGTCGACGAAATTCAACGTGCGACCCGGGTCGACACTTTCTTGTGTGCTTTTATTTTGTAACGCGTCCTAGTATAGAACCAGAGAGCACAAACCAGAAATCAACCAAGTCATTATCACTGCAATGTTTGTGTGTATCTCTGGCTATAGTGGACCGTTTCCTGCAATCTTTGGTGCGTTGGAATCGTGCTTTCAAGCTCTATCAAACTGCTATAGTAGTGGAATTCTACTCTGGACTCCGGAGCTTGATCTCTTAGGAACTCCTCATGCTATGCATGCTGTTGTTGACTCTAGTGCTTCTGACTCTGTTTATTCGAGTGTTGTTAGCTTAGGTGCTAGTCTTGCTGAGGTTCCTGTTGCTAGTGTAGGTACTTGTGTAGACACTAGTCCAGGAGCTGCTCTGGAGGACGCTTCACTTTCTTTCACTCTGGACCCCGGAGCTTCGCACTGCTTCTTCCGCGACGGCACGACACTTACCCCACTTCCTACACCGGTCTCTGTAGCACTGGCTGATCCCACTTCGGGACCAGTCACCGCTCGCTACACTACCACGCTTCCATGCCCGGCTGTTCCCTCCGGTTCTCTGACCGGCTTCCACGTCCCCTCGTTCTCGAGGAACTTGGTGGGCGTGAGGCCACTCGTGAGTCAGCACGTGAGTGTGTGGATTGAGCCTTCTGGCGAGACTGCGGTTTGTGTCCACGGAGACACGTACGCACATCTCGCCACCTTTACCGTTGAGCCGGGCTCTGGTCTCTACACACTTCACACTGGCCCCTGAGGGCAGCAGCAGCCGCTACTGCCCCCGACCCCTATCACTGCCCCCCGTCAGGTTCCCGCGTCTAACCAGGTTGCTGCGTCTCCCCAGGTAGCTGTGTCTGGTCAGGTTCCGGTGCCTGGTCCAGTTGCTGCGTCGTGCTCCTGCCGGTCACTTGCCCACCCCACCGTTCTGTGGCACCACCGGATGGGGCACCCGTCCATTCCTCTCCCGCGCGCTATGTCTAGTCAACGTCTTGTCTTAGGCCTCCCGCGAGTCTTGCCATCGCTGCCGCCTTCGCTTGCACCACCTTGCGGTCCCTGCGTCGAGGGTCGGCTGCGCGCCACCCCTCACTCCTCCTCCCTTCGTGCGGCCACCAAGCCTTTCGAGACTCTCCACTTGGACGTCTGGGGCCCCGCCCCTCGCCCTGGCCCTCGTTGACGACTACTGCCGCTACACCATAGTGTTCCCCCTGGCGAAGAAGTATGAGGTGACTTCTACTCTGATCCGGTGGTTACACTGCGGACACTCGTGGTCGTCGTGTCAGCTGTCTTCACTCCGACCGTGGGGGTGAGTTTTGCTCTGGCATTCTTGCTGGATTCTGTCGTGAGCAGGGCATCCGTCGGTTTTGGACGCTTCCAGAGTCCCCACAGCAGAATGGGGTTGCCAAGTGCCGCATAGGCTTGGTCATGGAGATTGCACGCACCTCCATGATCCACGCCCCTACGCCCCATTTTGTGTGGCCCTACGCGGTTCGGTATGCCACTCACTAGCTGAACCTCTGGCCACGTGTCTCTCGGCCAGAGGCTTCACTGAACAGTCTTTGGACCGGGTCCCCTAGTGATGCGTCGCGTTTTCGTGTCTGGGGCTGCTTGGTGCTTGTTCGCGACACCTCCGTGGATAAGCTCCCCCCTCGCGCCTTTCCCTGTGTCTTCCTTGGTTTCCCCGTTGACTCCTCTGACTTCACCTTTTACCACCCTCCCCTTCACCGGTTCTTTCACTCCCGCGACGTTAGTTTTGTCAAGTCAGACCCCTACTACACCCAGTACCCCTGTTGAGGTCTTTCGATACCTCCTCCTCCTCACTTTCTGACTCCCACCCCCTCTCCTGCCCCTCTGGTACAGCCCCCCCCCCCCCTGGTCCAGCCCAGTTTGGTGTGTCACACGCTACCCCTCCCCCCTCGGAAGCCCCTCAGGTGCCGTCCCCTTCCCCACAGTCCTTTCAGCCTGGAGCAGACCTTGCCGAGCTGGTTTTCGTGGCGAGGACCCTGGAGGTGCTAGCTCTAGAGGTGCTGGAGTTGGAGCAGAAAGCGTACCTGTGCGAGGTTCTGGTTCTGGGGGTGCTGGAGTTGGAGCTGAGCCCGTGACTGCAGGAGACTCTAGTCTTCGTGGAGCTGGTGTTAGTGGAGCTGTCCCTAGGGGTGCTACGACTGGGGGTGCACCCTCTGCTGGACCTGGAGAGCCTCGGACGGGCCCTGTTACTTCTGGTGGTGCTGGCTCTTGGGTGGTGTGACTGGTTCTTTGGAGAGCGGCCCTGGGGCTACTGCCGCTCCGGACACTACTCCTCCCCCCCACCCCTACCCGACTCGGCACCAGGCACGTGTCCGCCGTGCCCGTGAGGAGCAGCTGGAGTTGGAGCGAGAGGAGAGAGAGTTGGAGCGGCAGCAGCTGGAGCTACAGTGGCTGGAGGAGCAGCAGCAGTAGCAGCAGCCGGAGCAGCAGCCGGAGCAGGAGCAGCCGCAGCAGCAAGAGCAGCAGCAGCCGCCGCAGCTGGAGGAGCAGCGGTCGCTTCCACAGCAGCAGCAGCAGCAGCAGCCGCCACCTCCTCCTCCTGTCTCTGGTCTTCGGACCCTCGGTCTCCCCTCTCCTTCTCCTCCCTCCTCCCCCTCTCCTCCTGTCTCTGGTCCTTCGCTTCCTCCTCCTAACCCCTCCCCAGTTATTTTCCCTCCTTCTCTGCCTCCGTTGTCCCCTCCTCTTCCTCACACTTGGCCCTCGCGTCGCTCTCCTCGTGCTCATCCCTTGTCCCCTGTTCCCTTCTCTGACCTTCGTACTACCCTCTTTTGTTCTAGTCCGCCTCGTTCGTCTCCTTCTGTACTTCCTTCTCCTCCTGAGTCGGCTCTCACTGCTTCCCTCTCTACTCCTGTCACGGACTACTACCGTACGTACCGTACTATCCTCTCTCGTGTTCTCGCTTCTCTTGTTACCGACCCATGTGCTTCTCTGTCCTCTGTCTCCGCTCTTACTGCCGCAGTCACTGAGTTTGCCTCTTCTCGCCGCCTTGACTACACCACCAGTCTTGTGGCTGCTCCTCCTACCAGTCCTCTGGCCGTCGGGGGTGAGTCTGCCTTGGCTGTGACGCCCTAGAGGACAAGCAGTTTGAGCTAGAGTTCCTGGCAGCCGCTTCCCCTCATCTCTGTGCCATGCTGCTCGCTCCTGAGGGAGACCCTGACGCCCTTGACTTACCGACACCTCGCACTTACGCTAAGGCATTGTCAGGGCCTTGGGCCTCTCAGTGGAGAGCTGCCATGGACTCAGAGATGGCCTCCTACAGATCCACAGGCACTTACGTCGACGAGGTTCCCCCCCTTGGGCGAACGTAGTCGATGGCATGTGGATCTTCAGGGTGAAGCGGCCACCGGGATCTCCTCCGGTCTTCAAGGCGCGCTATGTGGCTAGAGGTTTCAGTCAGCGCGAGGGAGTTGACTTCTTTCAGACCTTAGCGCCTACCCCGAAGATGACCACTCTTCGGGTGTTACTACACGTAGCAGCACACAGGGACTATGAGTTACACACTCTCGACTTCTCTACTGCTTTCCTTCAGGGTAGCCTACACGAGGAGGTCTGGTTGCGTCGTCCCTCTGCCTTCACTGGCAATTTCCCTCTTGGGACCCAGTGGAGGCTAAGGCGACCGGTCTACGGTCTCCGTCAGGCTCCTCGTGAGTGGCACGACACCCTTCGTTCTACCCTGTCTGACCTTGGTTTCCAGCCGTCTTCTGCCGACCCGTCGCTGTTTGTTCGGCGTGGCTCCACACCGTTCTTTGTACTGGTCTACGTCGATGACCTGGTTTTTGCCACTGCTGACAGGGTTGCTTTGGCTGACGTGAAGTGCGAACTGCAGAAGAGACACACGTGCACTGACCTTGGTGAACTGCGCCACTACCTTGGCCTACAGATCACCAGGAACAAAGCCGCTCGCACCATTACATTCTCACAATCATGCATGGTGCAGCAGGTTCTTCAGCGGTTCGAGCTTCAGCACT